ATGACATAACTGGTCTTTGTCTTCAGACAGCATGAAACATGGCCAATACCACTGCTGTTTCTCTTGTAGGCAGTCACAGTTCTCAACCTCTCCTTGTTCTGTTCACCGGCTGAATACAGTCGTGTGTAAAACAAGGCCAATACAGTCAACTTCTGAACAAACTTTGTGTCGCCTAATTTATTTGCTCTGAACCAGTCAATGGAAACATGCCTAATTTGCAATTATTTTTTGTCAACGGTTCAAAAGTTTGCTTAAATTTGATTGAGAATTGAATGGAAACACAACTACAACTCATTTTCATCTATCAGTCTTCAATTTTTCAGTTTCATTCAGTTCCATATTTTCTGTTCTTGTCTCTCTCTCTCTGTGTTTTACTCGGTCTCTGTCCTGAAGCGTCACAGGTAGCAAAGGGCAAACTTTAGGAACGAGGGGGGACAGAGAGACCTTGCATAACTTTAATTTTTCTCTAACACATTTTGGCACAATGCCCTTATCACAGATTCAACATCAGACTGATTCGGATTCAGAGGGTCGCAGGCTTGGCCCGTCCCCCTTTTGGGGACACTGGGTCAGTTTCCGCCGGGCCCCTCCTGTACCACACAGTCATGTCTCACTGGAGGACTGATAGAGGATTTGATTAATGCAGCTGTACCTGCTGTCCAACATCCTCTCCCACACTGACCAAGAGCTGATCAGTCACACCAGCAGGTTCAACTACAAACATATCGATGGCCACTTTTCCATCCAAACACAACTTTATGAAGATGAGTTTTTAGTAGTGGGCTTGCATGGCAGATTTGAAATAAGAGACTGTTCCAGGGTTATGGGACCCTGACAGAAAAAGTACAGCCTCCTTTAGTTATAAGTCTGGATCGACGGAGTGTAGATAGACTGTAGTAGATTTTTGTTGAACAATCTGAGATTGCACACAGGTACACAGCAGCATAAAGGTTCACAGATATAAGCTGGTACTAGGACACGGTAGGCAACGCTGGAGAAAATAAAGTATGGATAACTTTCTTCAAGTAAGTGAATCATAGAAATGATCTGATTTTTGAGACCATTCCAAGTTGATAAAAACAGGACCGAACTACTTTGCTGTCCGTCCATCCGTCCGTCCGTCCGTCCGTCCATTTTCAGCCACTTATCCCAGGCCAGATGAGATCTATAATACCTCCAGCATGTTCTGGGTCTGCCCTGAGGCCTCCTACCAGCGGAACATTCCTTGAACATCTCAGGAGGCGCCTCTGGAGGATCCTGATCAGATGTTGAACCACCTCAACTGACCCCTTGTATCTGCCGCTTGTATCTGCCATCTTGTTCTTTCAGTCACTACCCAGAGCTCATGACCATAGGTGAGGGTTGGGATGGAGATGGAGATGGACAAATCGAAAGCTTTGCCTTGTGGCTCAGCTCCCTCTGAACCAAAACAGCCCCGATGGTTTGCTTGTCATCGTCTTGTTTTCGTCATGGAAAAAAGGTTGTTGACGAAAGATTTTCACATAGTTCATGAGCTTCATGACATACTTTATGTCCTAAAATAACAAAACATGAAAGTCTCTTAAGTTTGAGTCAACCACAGAGCTTATCTCAGGCATCTAACCAAAAATGCATTCAGATAACTCAAGGACTTTGAGATAAGGGAACCAGGGGTGGTAAAAATTTCAAGGTTTTAGGACATATTCCTGGGTCACTCTATTTCTAGCTTGATTAATCAAAGTCCAAAAAACTGTCTTTTTATTAGCTCAGTGGTTCTGAATCAGATGCAGGAAACGATTGTTGAAATAAATCAGATGATGTATTGACAGTTTTGACTGTTTGTATTTTACAATTTCAGTGTTTTCTGGGTTTGGTGTTCATATACGCCTGTACAGGTTTCTACCACACACTCACATGCACTTTTTTTTTAATATTTTTTAATTCCCTTTTGTTTTGTATTCATGGTAAATAGTAATGGACTGCACATTTATAGCACCTTTCTAGTCTTCCGAACACTCGAGCACTTTTTACACTGTGTCACATTCACCCATTCACACACACATTCACACACTGGTGGCTGAAGCTACCATACAGTAACCACTCACAAGCACACACACACCAATGGATCAGCCATCGGGAGCAACTTGGGGCTCAGTATCTTCTGATTAGTGGACGACCCGCTGTGCCTCTGAGCCGCAGCCGCCCATTTATGTATGTGAAACAAGCAAAATTTGAAATAACTGAAATGAAATTGTTGGCAGGAGTATTTTCAGCGCACTCAAACCTTGCAGGACTCTTAACTCCCAGAGAAGGAGGAAGATTAACCTAATAATGTGACAGATGTTTAGCTCCTGATGTTGACTGACGCTCGGCAGCAGCAGATGTTGACGCTCACATGTACAGAGCAGATGGCGTCTCTCTCTTTGTAGACGGATCAGACTCTCACCAGTTGTTTAAAGTGTTCTCAGATGGCTCAGCATTACAGCTGCTTTATCATTAATGACTTATAGTATGAATACGGTTCATTCTGCAAGAGCATAAAGGACCAGTGGCTTTAGTGGATAAAGACAAAGAAAGCTCTGGGGTTATATTATAAACTGGTTATGTAAGATTATTCTGTAATTCATTCTGTTGTGACGTGTGGGTGGTTACAGATACATTCCTCCGACAGTTTCTATGGTTTCATATGGTGATCATTTATTAGCTCGTATGTTCAGATGTAGATGTGTGAACCTGCTCTCACTCTCGCTCCTTCACCTCCTCCTTCAGTTCGTCACCTCCTGCCTGTCACCAGGAGAGAGGCAGCGAGAAAGTTACCTCCCGCCCTGAACATCACGCGAACAGCTGAGAGAGACTCAGCCTGACGCCTTTTCAATTATCAGTGATCCAGGAAACAATAAGTATCCCAGGGAGAGATGCAGGATTTGGGCTGCTGTTGTACAAGAATATAAATCCTCATTCCTCCATGTTTTTCAAGAGCCAATTTTGCGGTGCGGATTTTGGGAGTTAATCCCTTAAAAGCCGGCTGAATTGATTGAAAGCACAACAGTAAAACTTGAAAAACAGCAAATGAAATGTTTAAACTTGTTCACTTTTTGATCCTGAACTGCAAAGAGTTCCCTTTTAGAAAGATTCTGACTATAAGCAAAGAGTTTGAGAGAACATTTTAATTTTTTTTGTCAGGATTGTGCACAAAAAAAAGAAAATAACCTGAAAATATCCTTCCATTCAAGGGACTGTGCTGCATCAACAGACTGTTTATCAAGTCACATTTAATACACTAAAAGATTCACTTTAATTAAAAATGTGCTAGTTATGCATGGAGCTAAAAAATATCTGAAAATGATGATGAGAATTAGCAGAATTTGGTAGCACTCATATTTGAAATTTAAAATACCAGATATTTATCAGTTTATTTGCTTTCTCTCTGAGAGGTAGATGTGAAGATTGATACAACTCTCATGTCTGTGAACTAAATATGTATCTGAGAGTGAATCACTCAGAATGGTCCCTATATATTCCTTTAAATGGTTTTGATTCTTTTAGTTGCCTCTCTAATAGACTACAATGTGAAAAGATGGGTGATGTTCATTCCAGTTTTTTAAATACTACTAAAGTGTCCCACAGGGTTCAGTGTTAGGGGCGATATTGTTTTAAATTTACATAAATTATACATTACCCCTTTCTGAATCCTATAAATTTCATCTGTATGCGGGTGACACGGTTTTATATTGTTGAGCAACATCTGCACGATCAACCATGAAATGTCGGCAATCGTCTTTTGATGACACCAACTTCAACTTCATAACCATAAGTTTGTACAAAACTCAGACAAAACCAACCATGTTTTTCCATGACGAAGACGAGATGTTGGCGAGCTAGAAATAGATCTGGATGCTAAAATCTAAGACAAAGTCTATGTTTCCTTTTCGTTTACAAGATGAGACAGAGAGCAGAACAAGATGATAAATTATGTTATGAATGTATTAGAAAAATGTTTTAAACTAGAAAGCCAAAATCGGCCATGCCTCCATCTTCTAATGTCACATGAGTGGCACAAGATTGAAGCGCTGATGGGCTGGTAAACTCCAGTAAAAAGTCTGCACCAGGATGTTTGGGCTGGTGCGAGTTGTGAGCTGTAATCCAGCAGTAAACAATCAGCCGTGTGTGTCTGACTGTGGATGGTGGAGCTGTTGAATGGATTTGTGGAGTTTGTTAGTTGCAGCGGTGGCTGTTAGCAGCTAGCTCCGCTCCCAGACTTCACAGCTTCAGCCTGCAGGACTCCACTCAGTCCAGACTGGAAAAGTATCAGTGTTCATTCTGACTGCTATTTTAGCTCAGTGTGCACTACTTGTAGGTAGCATTGTTTTATATGGTAACACTGTGGTAAAAATACGTGTGTTTGTGAGGTACCGATCACACGACTGGATAAATGAGACTTGGATTATACTGCACAAGTTTGAGTTTGCAGACTGATGTTTTGAAAATGTTTTGCTGTGTCATTTTGTGTAATGACTGAAATTATTCCTATCGACAACTAATGGAGCTGCAGCTTTAAGCTGATAAGCTCAAGCACCAAACTTCCCTGAGGAATAATTGATTTGTCACAGGATGTTTCACGAGAACTATGAACTGATGAGGGAAACGGTGGTCAGCAAGTGTGATTGATGGAAACATAGTTTGGAGACGGCCTGGGGATATGATTCATTTTCTCTTTTGGCTGAGATACAAAGGTCGATGTGGCGGTAAAGAGAGGATGTAATTAAAAGTTTTTCCCTCCTCCTCCTTCCTTCTTGTAGAGGCAGCGTCAGCAGTTTGTTACCAAACACCAATATTCAGAGTTCATCATAAAAAGTATCATAAATGTTGTATTTAATGGGAAACAGCAGCAAATCGACTTCACCAAACACCACAGATCATCAAATCCAGAATCCAAGAGTACTAAACACATTTGTTTAAATATATCAGAAGGATATTTTCAGTAACGTAAATGAACTTCCTGTTTTCTTCTCCTTGTGCAGCCGACCTGCTGGTGAACACGCTGTGCCTCCCCTTCACCCTCGTCTACACTCTGCAGGGAGAGTGGAAGTTCGGCAGCACCCTCTGCTTCCTGCTGCCCTACGCCCAGGGGCTCGCCGTGCACGTTTCCACTGTGACACTCAACGTCATCGCCCTGGATCGCCACAGGTGGGTGGGGCTTAACGTGGGGAGGTAATCAGTGCCTATGATCTGGTAATGTTTAATATTATCGTTAAAGTCTCATAGCTACTGTGTCTCACGTAAGGTTTTCAAGGGACCTACTGTGGTCATTTTCAGGTTCATGCTGGTATTTTGGGTTTCTACTCGAACATGTTCACGTGCTTTCACACTTTGTTTCCACAAACTGTGCTGGAACACTTGTATTGACCTCTAAAAGCTCTGTTTTAGTGCCCGTCTCTTTGAGCCTCCCTCCCTCCCGAAAAAACCTAGTCTGCTCTGAGTGGTCAGTGTTTCCAGGTCTTCCATACTAAGCACCGTCTACACCATCACTGCAGCAGGGGAATGACTGTAACATAGAATAGCGGCATTTTCCAGCAGGAAAATGTTCCAAAATCAGGGAGAAATTAAAAACATTGGCAACCAAGATTACATTTTCCCTGATGTTAGCATGTAGCTTCATGTAGCCATTCAGTCAGGGAATGACTGAAACAGATGATAATGGAACTTTCCATATTTACCATGAAAAAAATCATTGATAAAAATTTCTAAACCAACATTTTCACAAACACACATGTTCCATCAGGAATATGAGATAAAATCGGGGAGAAATTTACAACACCAGCAAAAGACGACATGTGTCCTTGATGTTAGCATATAGCTACATGTAGCAGTGTACTAGCAGAGAGTGACTGTACAGCAGCACTTTCTCCCATGAAAAATCACCAATATAAGCTTTTAAACACAGCATATTTCTTCCTGATGTTAGCATGTAGCTACATGTAGCAGTGTATTTGCAGCAAGGGAATGACTGAAACAGAGTGTAGCGGAAATTTCCACCCTGAAAAATCACCAATAAAAGCTTCTAAACTATAATCTTTCACAACCAGAGTTGTTCCAGCAGTGTTATGATCCGAAATCAGGGAGAAATTAAAAACCATCATCAACCAAATTATGTGTTTCCCTGATGTTAGCATGCAGCTACATGTAGTAGTGTACTTGCAGCCAGGGAATGACATTGTGTTACTTTGTCTTGTCAAAAAGTCACCAGGTTTCTATACACAACTGTAAATGTTTCAGCAGAAATAAGATATGAAATTTGATAGCAACAAAATGACATGTTTCGCTCATGTTAGCATGTAGCTACATGTAGCAGTGCACTTGAAGCCAGAGAGCAACTGTGTGTAGTGGTACTCTCTCCCCTGAATTATCACAAGGAAAAGCTCTGTCACATAACTGGAGTTGTCGCAGCTGGAATGTGATCCGAAATCAGGATGAAATTAAAAACATCGGTAACCAAGATTACGTGTTTCCCTGATGTTAGCATGTAGCTACATGTAACAGTGAACTTGCTGCTTGGGGATGACTGTGTATAACGGCACTTTGTCCTGTTAACAAAACACCAATAAAAGCTTCTAAACAAGACGGGACGTGTTCGAGCAGGATTATGAGCAGAAATTGTGGAGAAATTAACGTTAGCAATCAGGACTACATGTTTACCTGACATTAGCATGTAGCTACATGTCTCACTGTACCTGAAGCCGAACAATGACTGTAAAGGCGTATAGCTGTACTTTCTTTTGTGAAAAAATAACCATCTTCACCACCTTCTAAACCAAAATTCACAACCGGACATGGTCCAGCAGGAATATGATCCCATATTGGAGAGAAATTAACAACATCAGCAAGCCCCACTTCCTGACGTTAGCTTGTAGCTACATGTAGCAATGTACTTGCAGCTGGAGATTGACTGTGTATATTTTGAGACACTACCGGACATGTTCCAGCAGGAATATGATCTTTAATATGGGAACAAATATTGGCAACCAAGAGTACATGTTTCCCTGACATTAGCATGTAGCTACATGTAGCAATGTACTTGTAGCTGGAGAATGACTGTGTACAGTGGTATTTTCTCCTGTTAAAACTTAACAATAAGACTTCTGAGACACTACTAGACATGCTTGTGTAGGAATACAATCTTAAATATGGAAGAAATTAACAACATCAGCAAGCCCCATTTCCTGATGTTAGCATGTAGCTACATGTAACAATGTACTTGCAGCTGGAGAATGACTGTGTATAGTGGAATATTCTCCCGTCAAAACTTAACAATAATGGGGCGTCGGTAGCTTAGTGGATAGTGCCAGCCCCCCATGTACAGAGGCGATGCCTCGCTCCAGCAGCCGGGACTTCGAAATCCCAAAAATAATCTTTAAAAAGAAACTTAACAATAACACTTTTGAGACACTACTGGATATGCTCGTGCAGGAATGTGATCTAGCAACCAGGATTACATGTTTCCTTTACATTAGCATGTAGCTACATGTAGCAGTGTATGTAGCATAAACACTCGCAGTAGCATGCCAGGAGTATAAGCTGTTGTTAGTTTGTAGCCAAAATAGAAAAAACATTGGAAGCAGTGTATCTGGAATGGTGTGCAGCCTGAGGTTTTACTTTTACATATATTTATTTACCTGTTATTTTTTTACCCAACTTTTATTTACCACATTTATGTTCCCATTATCTCTCTCGGTGTAATTTCTCGGTGGAAAATATCAGCCAGCTACTGTGTGCTGAAATGTGAAGTTTACTGTGAATATTTTGTCTAACAGCAGCTAAAGCTGACACTGAAGTGATGGAGGATAAAGTCTTCAGTTTGATCTGTCTCTCTCCACCATCAGGACTGTAAACCTGCTCACTCTCTGCGCGCTGACGTCCTCTAAATGACAGAAATGTAAAACACAAACATCATTTTCACCTTTGATACAGCTGCTCTCAGGAAAAAGAGCATTACTATGAGGCTTCACATGCAAATGGAGCCCACTCTGCTGGCCTCGCTGTACTGCTGACAGCACCATCACGCTTTGGTTGGCTGCTGTTCTGCTAGTTGGAGTGTAGGTGTTGAGAGCAGCAGCGAGGTGAGCTTTGGAGTGAACAATGGCTCATTTACATAATCCCAACCTGTGTGACCCTGCAGACCTGATTACAAAGCTGCTGGACTTGAACAATGTGTGTCTGTTGAGTTGAGACAACTTTGCAGCAGTGGTGAACTACAGCGAGAGGTGAGCTCACACATGGAAAGTTTGCTTCCGATATTAACAATTTAAATGAAGTTCTAACAGAGCAGCAAACTTCCTTTGTAAACAGATTTGCTCCTCTGGGATGTTGTTGGAGCTCTCGCCAGCGTCCACAATCTGTCGTCATTGTTTGTGTGTTTTGCGTCCACCTGTCCAGGGACTGCAGATGGGAATCTGGTACAAAGCTTCTCCACTCTGTTTGAAATTGATGTTTCTGGCAAATGGTTCCAGACAAATACATTTAAACAGAATATATTTCATGATCTGAGCATCTGAGTCTGGTGTTTCTGTTTTGTGTTGGGTTGTTGGACAACAGTGCACGCCAGAAAAATCAAGCTAATTCATTCTGTCTACTGATATCTTCATCACCATCATCATCCTAGTCAGCTGAGGTTTAATATAACGAGCAAAGAGAAATGTTCCCTGCTTTGCTTCATGTAAGCATCACAGAAGTGTAAATGATTCTGGTTTCATCGCCGTATACACAGAACATGTATGTGCTGCACATGAGAGCGCTCACACACAAACATATGACGACACGAACTTTGTCCAAGACCAGAGAAGAAAGAAAAGTTAGAGTCCTACTTTTGAAGAGGTTAGAGTTTGAGTTTCCTCTCAGGTTTTTGCATCAGCTAAAAGCAGCTTTTGATGCAATCTGCACAACAACAAACGCTCGGCTGCCAGAAGACCACAGAGACCCGCTTGGCTCGTTTCTAGTAAACCAAGCTGGAGCACATTGTGTTGCCAGGACGTTCACAGCTCAGAGGCCGAGTCTCACAGTCGACTGTAATGCTACCTGGAGGCCACGACGAGAACCCGAGAACCAGAGTGTGTAATGAGTTCACTTATTCTTCTGCTTGTCAACACTGTTGTTGTGCTGAATAAGCTGCGGCCAAGACAGAGGAGGTGATTATCAAAGTTTGCTTCACTCCTGTGTAATGGAGAAAAGTAGAATGAAGAAGTTTTTTCAGGGTTTGTTTAGTTTACATTATTTGCTGTGCCAGCGGTTGGAAATTAAAGTAATAGTTCACAGTAACAGTATCAAGTGTATATAGTGTGTAGTGTATATGGAATGGTGTTGAGGGGAGCAGAGTGCCTGAATATAAGCGACTGAAACAGACGCTGAGAGTCAGAACAAAAAATGGCAAAAAGGTTAAAAAATAACCAAAAGCGTTTTGTAAAGTCTGTGCAGCATTATCCAAGTGACTTCATCCAAAACCATTTACTTGCTTGTGCTTTACATTGACAAATATCATAGGAGGTGTTTGATTCAAAGTATGAGTTTTGTGGAAATAGCTGTGTTTGGATTTGAGCTCTTTGCACAGTATGTTAGTGGAGCGGAACAGCTCAATATTTTTGTAGAATCGTTTAATTTTGTGATAGAAGCACCAAATTTGGCAGATGTGTTGACAAATATATTTAGAACAAATCTGGATATTGGGGCATCAGAGCAGGCAATTGAACCCTACCTGCCCAAGGACCCGTCCCGTTAATTGGATCCACTCCAAAATGTAATGGCTTCTAAGGGCCGTAATATAGTTGCTGCTTGATCAAACATGTACACAACGCGACGTGTCTGTGCAAAGACACGGCGCGTTGTGTACGCAGCACTATGCAGCCAAAATGCACAATACTGGTGGTCACCACTTGGGGCAGACAACAGAAATATAACCCGGAAATCGAAGAAGAAGAAGAAGGGTCTGGTCTGATCATCCGGTCGGGTCACTGTGTGCATTCGCACCAGCGCCTCTAGCGATTATACGAATATTGCATCTCGAGCACACGTCGCGGTACCTCGCGTTGAGATGTGCATTTGACGCATCAAACAAACACAGATCACGCGTGGCAGCCATGATGCGGTCGCGTTTGCATTGTTTGCACCATGTATATTACGGCCCTGAGTTGGACCATGCTACATGCCTCCACCAAGTTTTGTGAAAATTGGTTGGAAAGTTTTCAGGTAATCCTCATCGAAAAACTGAATGGAAGTGAATGGGCGGCCACGTGTGGGCAGCCCGTGGACACGCCCCCTGAGTTGGATCAACACCAAAATTTAATGTATTCTAAGTTGGCATATGTTACATCCCTCCACCGAATTTTGTGTAAATCGGTCAGACAGTTTTTGTATAATTCTGCTAACAAACTAATAAATTGGGCAGCAGAGCTAAAAAATTGTTTATTTTTGCAATAATATACTGGAACACAACACATTGGTCCCCCTCTAAATATATTTGTCAACACATCTGCCAAATTTGGTGCTTTAATCACAAAAATGAACGATTTTATAGCTATGCCACCCCACGGAAACATCACATTTGCACATCAGACGTATCACATCAACATTTCTAAAATGATGTACGATATGAGCTGACTGTGTCATGAGGAGGTGCAGGAGATGCCTGCCAAGCTGCGCACTACTGTTCAAGACTAACAGATAATAAAACCAGCTGTTCTTTGGCAAGTCATCATTTCTTGCAGCTTTTTAGCTCTCAATATTTTCCCCGCCAGGATAGTCCTACGAAAACCAGTTGTTTTCTACAGAAACATCACTTTGTTTCCTGCTCGGATACTGCTACAAAAAACGTTTTTATACTGAGACGTTGTTTTGTTCCCCACAAAACGCAATTGTTTTTTACCAAGACATATTTGCGCGATAAGGGGTTGTTGCCCTGTGAGACAGAAATGGAGAGTGCTTCTGTTTTTCCAGGACATAGCTTTGTGTCCGGTCATGACGATGCTATGAAAAGCAGTTGGGTTTTTTAACCAAGACAATGAGTGTGTTTACATGGGCAGTTTAATTCCCTTTTCATTCAGAATGAAAGTTCATTCCTATTAAAAGTGATCTTGTAAACACTTAATTCAGAATGAAAATGGCCAATGTGATTGAAAATTCAATCCGATGTAAGGGGCTGGAATATTCCGTTTCTAATTCTGAATGAAAGAATTTCTCACACTTGTATACACTCATTCCTCTTTAAGTTCATTCCAGTCTTTCTGCACATGCTCGTTTCCTTGCCCTTCTGGCGCCATGACGTATATAGCGCACATAGCAACGGGCTGAGATAGAGCAGTCGGACTCGTTGCACTCACCGGTTTCCATTTTCCACAGCACGGTCTTCTGTCTCCCTTCTTCGACCTTCTACCTCCCTACTCCTCCTCAACAGACGAAGCATTAGCAGAACAAGGTTGTTGTCGTACTGCTGCTTCAAGAATATAAGCAAAACAAGCCTGAAAAAGGCACTAAGAACGGCGTCGGCAAGCATCTTGTTATCCAGAGCGAGGACTACAGTGTTTTCTTCCGGTAAACACATAACATCCGCCCCGCCCCCTATCCAATCAGAAACCTTCCCTGCCCCAAACCTTGTGCAGACCTGAATAAAGGCGATTAAACTGATCTCTGTGTAAACCCTCATTCAGAATGAATATTTCCCATGTAAACTACCTGGAAAGACTTTAATTCAGAATGAGAAGCCATCATGTAACTGCACCCATTAACGTTTATGAAACTGTTGTTCCCTTTAGACACTGAGACACAGAAACATCTGGGAATAGAGTCCAGGTTGAAAAATACAAAAGTTAAATTGTAGACTGGTGAACTTTATGTAAACATGTTCTCTTCTTTGTTATTGATCTGTAACAGCCACTCTGATGTTTTATACATAAAAAGATGGATACAAGTGATGTGTGTGTGTGTGTGTGTGTGTGTGTGTGTGTTTCAGGTGTATCGTGTACCACCTAGAAACCAGGATGCGTAAGGACGTGTGTTTTGGGGTGATCGCTTTGACCTGGGTGCTGAGCGCCGTGCTCGCCAGCCCTCTGGCCATCTTCAGAGAGTACGGCTCCTTCACCCTGGAACCTGGACACACCATACAGGTACACAGGTACACACACACACACACACACACCTGTAACACATGAGTCCACTCACTTCCCTCCTCATCCGTGTCTTTGATCTCCTCGCTCGTTCCCCGCCGCCGCACCTTCCCTCCTCTCTCTTCCATCTCCATCTCTTTCATCTCTCCTTCCGTCCCATCATCCCCTCCCTCCTTTCATCACTCACTCCACCTCGCAGACTCCTCTCCATAATCTCCATACTCCCTCCACTCTTCAATCCACTCTTTCCCTGCCTCCCTGTTTGAAGCATTTTCATTCCAGGTTCAACACTGTCATCATATTTCCCTCATTTGTTGCATGTTTCACTCGACCTTCATTCATTTCCAGCCTCAACACATGCTCATACTTTTCATTAGCCACGTTATCTCATATTCTGCTCTAATTTCCCATCTCCATGCAGCATAAAGCTGGGGTAGGCAGAAATCTGGACAAGGAGAAAAAACGGCAGAATTTTAAAATATACTCCTCCTCCTGCAGCTCTCAGCTCTCCACCTGAAGCCCCTCCCACCAGACGACCACGGGCGCGTGCACGTGCTTCATATTGTAACCCAGTGATTCCCCTACGCTGATTTATTTAATCTTATTTCATTGTAGAGCTTTCTCTCTTTATCTGTTTATCAGACCATGAATGAGACAAGAGTTAGCTGCTAGCCACCCTACGGTCTCCCCGCCTTGCTCCCCACCGCTGTGGACTGACACTCCTGGAGGAGATCAGGCAGCAGCTCTTTGATCAGCGGTTGTAGCGGCTCAAATTCCACCAGCGCAAAACCTGCGGGGCTGGGTGTCAGAGTGGGCTGGTGGTCTGACCTGTGTAATGGCAGCAACAGAAAGTTTGCTGATCTGGCAGGGAGTCAGGGCTGTTCAGTCCCGCGGAGCCGGGGTTTGTGCCAGCTGGATTCATGTTCTCCAGAGCTGCTGCCCGAGGTGGTCTGTAATGGCGAGGAGTGAGGTGGGGGACAGAATATGATTTGAGGCTCTAGCTAACGTTTGGCTCCAGTTAGCAGAAGGCTAAACTGTTGGTGACATTTTCTCTCCATCTCTGAAACACTTTGCTGATTCTGACACGTGTTTCGTTTATTGTCAGAGTCTATTTTTTTGGGTTGTAGGTAGGGGTGTAACGGTACACAAAAATCTCGGTTCGGTACGTACCTCGGTATACAAGTCACAGTTCGGTTTTTTCGGTACAGTAATGAAAAAAATAGACAACTATTAAATATCTTTTACTCCACAGCAGTTAACTCTTTTTTACACAATTTTTGAATGAAACAAATATATATAAAATCCTGCTTTTTCACATTGTTTGAATGAAAATAGAAATGTAAAAGTGAAAAATAAAATCCTGCTGTTTTTTTAACACATTTTTTGAATGAAAAATATAAATTTCTGCTTAAACAGTTTTACTCAGTTAAAATAAAAAGTATAGTGCTGGGCAGCTTTAAAGCCTGCTCAGATTCAGTTTTACTAGGAACTTACTTAGCTTTCCCACTTTGTTAAAGTGCAGTAAACAAAACATGCTTATATCTAAAGTGCAGCTTAAACAATTTTACTCAGCTCCAGTGGCGTTGGTTATTTCTTTAGCGCGATGGTGGAAGGGAAACACTCTCTCTTTTTAAACGACGACGATATCGTAGTTTGCACCAGATTGCTCTTTCTAGTCGTGCCGGTTAACGTTCAAACTCGGGTGGTGTTGCTTTAGTTGCGTTAGCATGTTAGACGTGTTTCCAAGTACATACCCGACTGCTATTCTGCAGTGTCGGCACACTGCTTTTGTCTTGTCCACTTGTTTATTTCCATCTTCGTATTTTACCCTGAATCCAAAGTGTTCCCGAACGGAAGACTTAAGGTTTGCGGGTAGGTCTTCAGGTTCGTCAGGCTCACTTGCCATGTTGTCAAAATGCGAGAATGCGCTGCACAAAGTGAAAGAGGAGATTTACGGTAGGACTCGGTCCGTCACTCAATTATGTCCGTAGGAGAACTAGATATTTTAAATGGTTCGGCTTGCAAAAACGGAATTAAAATAAAACAAAATAAAATAAAATAATATCCTGCGCCCAATAATTTGGTACAGGGTCGTGCCGAACCGAAAGTCGCGTACCGAACGGTTCGACATAAATACAAGTACCGTTATGGCCCTAGTTGTAGGCAGTTGCTGTCAGGGCTAGAATAACAACTTCCTCTGCAGGATTCTCCACCTCTGAATCAGGTTTTCACTGAAGGGCAAATCAGAACAGCCAATAGGAACGCCCTGTCTCTGAAATGACCTGTTATTGGACAAAGTCTCCTGTCATGGGCGAGATTTGATTTCAAAACACATTTGAAAAGTTTGGAAGTTTGAAAACAGAGCCAAGAGGAGGTGCAGAAGTCTAGTTTTCTCTTAGACCACTTGGATTCCAATATGTTCAAAAGTTATTATGGGATTTTGCCCAGTAATGCCAAAATAAAACCACTGTCCACAGGTTTAAGTGCAGCTGGTATAGTTTTAAGGGGTCAGAAGTAGGGAGGGAGCAAGAAGCCCCCAAAATGATCTCTGTAATTTTTTTTAAACATTTTTATCTTCTTTTTTTATAATCATATTCTATGTGCTCTCATCTTGGAATTATTGGTTTTATATTTTTAGTTATTTGTCCTTTTGTTTTTCAAATCCTTTTATGTGCTTACGTGACTTGACCACTAGGGCACTAATTTAAGAAACACTCCTGAAGGTCGTATTAAGGCTCATTCATACTCCCTTTACATTTGCAGAAAGATACGTCCAATGCAAACGTTGTAATCGCCACTGCCCTTACTTCTGTACGTACACAGCGTTACACACTTCCATGCATCCTTTATGACGGTTCGTTGTCTCCTACGGAGCGATCTCACCTGATCTATGCTTCTTAAACCATGCTTAATGATAGATACATGTACGAACATGGACTGAGCCTTCTGTCCGTTCTCTGCATTCATTTCCTCCTTATTTTCGTATGGATATGGCCGAAACAGAGCAGTGCTGCCGGAGATCATGGAGGCAGTGTAGCATAGTTCAACAACATATATGGTCCTGTGAGTTGGAGGAGTTGTTTGTAAGGTAGAAAACCAAAACAAAGAGCCGAAAGATGCTAAAAGGTTCTGTAGAGCTGAGAGGACCTAATAAATCAGCTAATGCACACGACACCAAACTAAACTTTCGTCCTGTTGTGTTTCAGGTGTGCACGGAGAAGTGGCCCGGTAAAAACACAGACGGGACCGTCTACAGCATCTCCATGTTGATCCTGCAGTACTTCCTGCCGCTGTCCATCATCTCCTTTGCCTACGCCCGCATCTGGTCCAAACTGCGCGGCCACGTAAGCCCAGCAGAGAGCGGCGGCAGCAGCAGCGCCGGCTCTGAGCGCCACCGCCGGCGCCGCAAAACCACCAAGATGCTGGTGACCATGGTGGTGGTGTTCGCTGTCAGCTGGCTGCCCTTCCACGCCTTCCAGCTGGCCACGGACATCGACAGCACGGTGCTGGACATGCGCGACTTCCGCCTGCTCTACACCATCTTCCACGTGGTCGCCATGTGCTCCACCTTCGCCAACCCGCTGCTGTATGGCTGGATGAACCGCAACTACCGGGCAGCCTTCCTTGCCGTCTTCAAGTGTCGCAGGGGAGGGGAGAGGGGGAGGAGTGGCCGGTTGGACAGCATTCACCCTGTAGGAGGAGGAGGAGGAGGAGGAGGAGGAGGGAGGGCGAAGAAGATAGTCCTGGAGACTCAGGATGTGGTGTCCACCCACCTGAACGCCACTGATGTGTGAGCGCCTGAGGGAGGTGGAAACGAAGAGGATGATGGAGGAGGGATGACAGGAAAATGATGGAGAGATGACGGAGGAAGAGGCGGCAAGGAAAAGAAAAATCACAGTCAGGAAATCTTTTGTTCCCCAGAAGACAATAGACGAGAAAAGAAAACGAGATTCCACACGGAGACGGAGACAGCGGGGAGATAAAGATGTGAGAAAAAATAGAAACAACAGAGTGAGAGGGAGGCGACGGAGGGATTGAAGAGTTTTTGGAAGCCCAAAATAGACGAGGAGGCAGAGACGAGCAGGGATTAGAGGAAGAAGAATGACAGGAGAGGAGAAGACAAACTGCTGAATGACTCAAGGTCTCCTCGACCAATCGAAGCACCGTCCCTCTGAGGACGTGACCTCATCACGACAGAGGATTTGTTCAAGTGACATTCAGCTTCGCATGAAGGATTTGTGACACTGACAAAGTGGTGTTGGAGTGGCTTTGATTTTCTGATGACAAAAATTTTCCGAGACGTTTGATGGAAAACTTAAGATTGTTTCCTCGACAGTGACGTAAAAAAAAACAACCTTGGACTTTAATCTCGTCAAAATAGGGCTTTACTCCATCTTCATTCCACATGTGAAGCATTTAGCTCGTACAGTTAAACCCAGAGTGGCTTACAGGGGGTGGGACCAGGACGCGTAAGCAGGTCTGCGGGGAATGAACCGGTGAAATATCTGCAGCATCAGCGGCTTCCTTTTGCAGCGACGGATATGAGGAATATGATTGTCCACGTTCTCTCCGAGGCCTCCGGGGGCCGTGCAAAAACAAATTTGTCAGGTGAAAGAAAAGCCAAACAAAAAAAAAAAAAAAGTCACGGATTTTGAAGTGCGAGGGGAGGACGAGGATGCATGATGCAAGCTTTGTGAAATCTCAAGACATTGTTATGTAATGAAACTGTGTTTAATGTGGATTATCCTGCAAAGAGAGATGGATGTAAGAGTGTGACACAGAAAAGGCAGAGGTGGACATTATGAGGAAGAGGGGGAAAGAAGGGAGAGAGCACTCAAAACACTGATGCATCAACTTTTAGTTTTGTAGATGAAGGACAGAGAGCAAAGAGTGACAGGAGGGCGGGAGGGACAAAGCAGCGAGAGGATCAAAGTCAAATGTGGGATAATGAGGAAAAAGAAAAGAAACTTCAAACAAAAAGGCAGCAATTTAGTGTGAAGTGAGACAAGAGCCTCACTTACAAGTGAACACATGAATGTTTGATAAAACTTAATTTGGTTCTTGACAGTTCTTTCTGTTGTCGACAGGTGACATGCTCCCACCTGTCTGTCGGGTTCACAGCAGGGTGAAACCAAATCACTTTTCAGAGTGTCTCTCTGTGACTTCAGATACATTCATCTGATTTAGACGAGAAGGGATTCGTTAAATTTGGGCGTCTGCACATTTGGCTGCTCATTTTGAGTTACGCTTCAATTAAAGTTCCATTACAGAGGTTAATCAGCACGACACAATAGATATGAAGATCGTTAAAATATGATTATTCACACTGAAGTAAATCGAACTTCAGGGACCAACCCAGTCTCCAGAAAAACTGTCGTCATTATATAGTTATAACTGCATTTTAATTTGTGTTACATTTTACATTTTAACAACACTGTGTGGTCAGGTTTAGGCTTAAAGGGATAGTGCACCCAAAAATGTAAGTGTCCTGAAGCCCCGACATAAAAAGCTGTTTGGAAAAACCTCATTTGAACTCTGTTTTTAGCATCATTGTAGCCTGTAGCTCTGACTGACAGAGCTACAGGCTACAATGACACTTGGATCACTACGGACGAGCAGTATGGAGATATTTTGTGGTTTCAGTTATGTGTTTTTGGACATTTGAATCTGGGGCGCCGTCAGCCTCCATTAGGTGGAGTTGTGTTGCTACCTCCTCTCCCCTTGGATCTCTGCAAGTGATGTGAGGACTCTAAAACTTCACCTGAGCCTCCCTCGACATATGGGTGAGTAGATAATGGCTGAATTTTCATTTTTGGGTGCACTATCCCTTTAAGAAAGATTATGTTTTGACTTAAAATACCTGGTTTGGGGGCATAATGCCCTGCTGTAAAAGCAGTGATGTCTCATTAAAAATCAGCCATGTTTGGTGGCCCTACCCCTCCAGGAAATGCAGTGATGTCTTGGTGGAAAACAGCTGTTTTTCAGGCAGTATCCTGGCAAGAAACTTGGCAGTGTCTCAGTAAAAGCACTGTCCTTGCTGGACAAGCTGGCCTAAGTCTCACGCCATCCACCATCACTCCACCTTCCAATGAAAAGTCAGCTCATATAATTACATCACTTCAGAAATGCCTCTTCAGCCCTGAGCAAAGCCTCTCAGGCAGTCTTCACTCGCTCATTATATAGAAAGAGGGCCTTGAGATGCAAAGAAGGATTCACTTATAAGCCAATATTAGCATAAGTTATCATTCATGTAGTCCCAGAGACTTAAAAGATTACTCCACTGACTGAAAGTCAAACAAGCTCTGCCAATCTAAAGGTCACGTTTTATCCAATGAATTTTGCCTCTCATTCACTCAGTCACACACTGATGGCAGCGAGTCGCCATGCAAGGCGCTGCCAATATGCCAACGCCTCCCACCCTCAGCCTCTCGTGGTCACGTCCATGTAGCTGCCAATCAAATTAAAGTCTACTCAAACAAGCTGGACATTCCACAGCCTGGCAGCCCAACAGCTGTCCCCATTAATAATGTATGAAACATTAGTAAATAAAACCCTTTATAAACGGTGCCTTAAAGGCCTTTTCCACTACAGGAACGTTGAGTTCCCCTCGACTCAAAACTGTGTTTCTCTACTGTTTATGTTCCCTGAAATGTCCCTTGACTATACTGACTCATATCTGTGCAGTTTGTCACTAAAGAGGTGTCGGCAGCAGCCACCAGCCGAATGCTGCTGAAACATGGAGGTGTCTGCTGGATCGTCTCCATTTACCAACCAGAAAAACAACTTGAATCTTTTGAGTTTGGCAGGTGGATGAGAAAGTTAGTTTCAGTCTTGTGGATTAATCTATGCACTTCCCAAAAATCTAAGATTCAAACATACGCCAGGCAGCTGGATGACATACATCACAAATAGAGTGGAGCAGGAATGAGTCCTAAGAACCAGAAATGAGTTTGAACTTTCACGTTCTGTTCTATGCCTTTACGTCTTCAGAAATGACAGCTGGCTAAATGAGACCAGAGAGTGTCATCACGCCGAACACGAAAGTCTTCTTGCAGCCATGTTGTAGTGTGTTCATAGTCTGTTCATTTGTGAAGATTATCCTGCTGAACAAAATGTGTAAGCATCAAAAACGTCTCTTTGCCACAGAGCTTATCATCAGCAATAACCCAGTGTATCCTTGAGGCCTTTAGTTGAGGAAACCTTGGTGATGGTAACATCCATGTTGGCCTACAGAAAAACATCATCCCTACAGCACTGTATACGAAAGCCAGTCACTGTCCGACACATATTGACAGGGGGAACTGACCTCAACATGACACCAGCAAAGAAACCTGAAACCTCCAACGCAGAGCGGACCTGTCCCTGCAGAGAGCATTAGCATTAGCATTAGCATAGTGAGAGCTTTGACAGCATTCATGGTTGAGTACAGTGTTTGTAAACCAGACCCTTCCTGCACATTGTCACACAAATGTATGCATGTGTCACAAACACTAACACTGCCAGTTAGCCTAAAACAGGGGTCAGCAACCTTTACTATCTAAAGCGCCATTTTTGAACAAAAATTTAAAAAAAAAAAAAAAAAATCTGTCTCAGTTTGGAGGTAACACAGAGTATTGCGTCTAGCAAAGCCTATCAACATTACTAATAGGTCTAAATGAGAAGTCATGAACATGTTTTAGGACAAGGTGGCTCGTCAGCAGTGGGCTGGTTACGAACATCTGGTTGGTGTCGATGAAACAAATTAATCTGTCCAGCCATTATTAATGTCTCTGTCGTCCTCCGAGACTGTTAAATCCTTAGATTTGAAGTCTATAGCTAACATCGCTGCGGATATTGAAAAATCGGGCTGAAATCATGTACTCTGAACCCGGCGTTACAAAACACTCTGTCTGTGTCTGTCTCCAGTCAAAGTCCCAGCTGGACGAGGACATCTAACTGGCCTACTGTCCTTGTCCCAGTATACAAGCACGGGAGGGGAATCCATTTATTGAGCCAAGTATGTGCGACTCCTCTACGATAGGTGGAGATATGCCCCCTTTCAGCTTGTTAGTATTGGACCTTTTTCCTGTTGACCTATTACGTCACAGACCAAACAATGGACAAACAAGTTAGCTACGGTTAGCTAGCAGCTAACTGCTACCATGGTGGACAACTTTACAGCTCTGTACATTTGGTCCGTCCAAAAAGTCACGGCTCTGGATGTAGATTTCTCCATGTTGTTACCGGCTTCTTCTTCTCTTACACATTTAATGCTATTGGACTTCCGGGTCAAAGCCCGGGGCGGAAACTGTGGAGCATGCTCAGAGCGCCTCGGCCAGTTTGGGTCTGATTGACTGTATACATGCAGGAGTCAGTCGCACCAACGCAATAAATTCATTTTCTCTAATGTCATGTAAACAGTGACTGAACAAATGTTGCAATCAAAATAAACAGTTTTAAACATTATTACACACTTGTGACTATTAAAATAAACCCAATGTGCTCATATGAGGACAGTTATTTAAAAAATGACTTATTGTTCAAAGATAATGTTCAGTTTTTACATGTATCAGGTCCAAATGATCCCAACTAGCTACGAGAAATTCAAAATCAACCAAACAAAAGCTCTGGTCTCACCGCAGGGAACTGTTCATATGAAGTGTAGATACAGTGTTGGGACATGCACCACTAGTTTATTTACATTTCCCAGTGACATCAGGTAATGATGTTTCAAAATCAAGTCATTTCTCAGAGTCAGAAACGAGGCAAAGTTTTGGGTCGTCCACTTCCTGTGGTGGAAATTGTCCGTTATTAGAGAGCGGTGCCCAAATAATATTTATTCACATTAAAATGCTGAATGTCACGCCACGATTTCCACCTCCTTATTTCCACCTCACCCTCCGCACTATCTGCCCATCTCTCACCCCCAGTTTTCCCATCATGCTCCGGTGCAGGAGCTGCCTGACGGGCCGAAGTCATTAACCGGTCTGCGGCGACGCACAGTGCAGGAGACCGTCAGAGATGTAATGTGGGACAGTGCTGACTGCTGCACGGGAGCCTCTCGTCCTGCAGCTCATCATCATCATCGTTTTAAAGGTCTTCATTTACACGCTCTCAATTAAATTCATTGTTCATAATGTTATCAGCAAAGGTCGTTTCATTCTGTTCAAACTTTAATTGCCTAATTGTAATTACAGCGCTCAGTTTCCTCTGACAGCGGCTGAATCAACATGTTAATGCAGTGTAAACACACAAGGCTGAGTAACGACCTGCAAACACAAGCACAACGTGAACGAACATTACAGCGGCTGTTAGTTAAATACTGTTAAACTGCCTCACACACACACACACACACACACACACACACACACACAGTATTGTAATGAGATCAAACAGTTGGCAGACGTAATCCTTCATTTTTATTTCGATGTAGCGTCTGTGTCCCTCGTCCTCTTTAAGTCTCGTGATCCTGCCTCGCCTGACCCGCAGTCCCACAATCCGTCCGTTCCCTCCTGCTGAACTGTACCAGTCATCACTTCGGCTCCTTGTCTGTCTCCTCTCTGCTCTCTTTCCCCCTCTGTGAGTGCATGCCTCAAAAAGCTAGACATGGTTTCCTCCTCTGAGGACGAACAGAGAAGAATTAGGAGAAGTGTATTTTTTATTTTGGTACGACAGAGTCACAAACTCATTCTTCCACTGGAGGGTTTTTATTTCAGAGCAGCCACAGTGTTGTCCATATTTTACACTTTCACACCTTCCACCTCAAACGTCGACGTTTTCCAGGCAAATGGCTCAACATTTTCAGAATAAGTTGAACAGTGAACCATAATGTGCTTTAGTTTGATAACAGCAAAGATCGGACGACTTTTGAACAATGTTAAACTTTAAGTGATGGTTGAGTTTCAGACTGTTTGACGTCATCTGGTTTGCTCTGGATCCCCAAAGCTATCCCACGATGCACTGCAAGGATAGTCGTGATGTCAGCTTTACTTAATTCTGCTTTTGTTAGCCCAACACCCGTTAACTGCTAACTAACCGGGTCTACACTGGTTAGCTAACGTTAGCCTTAAATTGTTCCCCAAAGTTTTAATGTATGCAGGCCCATGCCTTCAACTTTCAAAATACTTTTTAATGCCCATCCAAGCTGTAAAAAAATAAAATAACTTATTGGCTAGCTCACTCGCTAACGCGCTAATCAGTTAGCAAACAAGAGAGGTTGTGAGTTAACTCATTAGCTAGCTAACCAGGACGGGAGATGAACCATATTCCCTTCAGGTGGTAACCCCAGCGGAGGTAAAGTGCGTCTCTGCTCTGTTTAGCTCAGGGGCCCAACGTAAACAAGATGACGTCATTAATGAACTTCACCTTTAAATGCTCCCCGTGATTTTCAGCCTGTTTTCTATCATTTGAAGAAAAGAATGAAACTGATATTCAGTTCCTCGCTGATGATGTTCTGGTGTATCCTGACGAGGTTTTTGGCGGG